GGTAGCTTGAAAGAAGGGAGGGAATGTCCAGATAGAGGAAGGTTCCTGCTCTCACTACAACAGCCAGAGAGAAGAGGCACTTACCCATGGGTGTGACGTTTCTATTCTGGCAAAGATGTGACTACTCAACTCACAGAGTCCTGGTCAAGCATGGCTCTAGGGTGCTTTAAATGTGTCCCTGCTGGTGGCCTTTCTCTCAGCCCATTAGGCCCAGTGGAGTGTCTGAGAATTCTCTGGAGTCAGTAACAAAGTAAAAAAACCTCAGGATCCTATGCCCTCTTCACATGGGGTTCTCTGGTGGCTCAGACTGTAAAGAATCTGCCTGCAATGCAGGAGCCCTGGGTTCGATCCCTGGGATTGGAAGTTCCTCTGGAGAAGGGTGATAGAAGCAAGGTCCAGTGCTGTAAAGAGAAATATTGCATAGGAACCTGGAAAGTTAGGTTCATGAATCAAGGCAAATTGGCAGTTGTCAAACAGGTGATGGCAAGAGTGAACGTCAACATTCTAGGAATCAGCGAACTAAGATGGGCTGGAATGGGTGAATTTTATTCAGATGACCATTATATCTACTGCCGTGGGCATGAATCCCTTAGAAGAAATGGAGTAGCCATCATAGTCAACAAAAGAGTATGAAATGCAATACTTCGATGCAACCTCAAAAACGACAGAATGATCTCTGTTCGTTTCCAAGGCAAACCATTCAATATCACGGTAATCCAAGTCTATGCCCCGACCAGTAACACTGAAGAAACTGAAGTTGAATGGTTCTATGAAGACCTACAAGACCTTTTAGAACTAACACCCAAAAATGATGTCCTTTTCATTATAGGGAACTTGAATACGAAAGTAGGAAGTCAAGAAATACCTGTAGTAACAAGCAAATTTGGCCTTGGAGTACAGAATGAAGCAGGGCAAAGGCTAATATAATTTCGCCAAGAGAATGCACTGGTCAGAGCAAACACCTTCTAACAACACAAGAAAAGACTCTACACATGGACATCAGCAGATGGTCATTACTGAAATCAGATTGATTATATTCTTTGCAGCCAAAGATGGAGAAGCTGTATACAGTCAGCAAAAATAAGACTGGGAGCTGACTGTGGCTCAGATCATGAACTCCTTATTGCCAAATTCAGACTTAAACTGAAGAAAGTAGGGAAAACTATTAGACCACTCAGATATGACCTAAATCAAATCCCTTATGATTTTACAATGGAAGTGAGCAATAGGTTTAAGGGACTAGATCTGATAGCCAGAGTGCCTGATGAACTATGGATGGAGGTTCGTGACATTGTACAGGAGACAAGAGTCAAGACCATCCCCAAGAAAAAGAAATGCAAAAAAAACAAAATAGCTGTCTGAGGAGGCCTTTCAAATAGCTGTGAAAAGAAGAGAAGTGAAAAGCAAAGGAGAAAAGGAAAGATATGCCATTTGAATGCAGAGTTTCAAAGAATAGCAAGGAGAGATAAGAAAGCCTTCCTCAGTGATCAATGCAAAGAAATAGAGGAAAACAACAGAATGGGAAAGACTAGAGATCTCTTCAAGAAAATTAGAGATACCAAGGGAACATTTCATGCAAAGATGGGCTTGATAAAGGTCAGAAATGGTATGGACCTAACAGAAGCAGAAGATATTAAGAAGAGATGGAGAGAATACACAGAAGAACTGTACAAAAAAGATCTTCATGACCCAGATAATCATGATGGTGTGATCACTCATCTAGAGCCAGACATCAAGTGGGCCTTAGGAAGCATCACTACGAACAAAGCTAGTGGAGGTGATGGAATTCCAGATGAGCTATTTCAAATCCTGAAAGATGATGCTGTGAAAGGGCTGCACTCAGTATGTCAGCAAATTTGGAAAACTCAGCAGTGGTCACAGGACTGGAAAAGGTGAGTTTTTATTCCAGTCCCTAAGAAAGGCAATGCCAAGGAATGCTCAAACTATTGCACAATTGCACTCATCACACGCTAGTAAAATAATGCTTAAAATTCTCCAAGCAAGGCTTCAGCAATACATTAACCATGAACTTCCAGATATTCAAACTGGTTTTAGAAAAGGCAGAGGAACCAGAGATCAAATTGCCAATATCCGCTGGATCATCAAAAAAGCAAGAGAGTTCTAGAAAAACATCTATTTCTGCTTTATTGACTATGCCAAAGCCTTTGAGTGTGTGGATCACAATAAACTGTGGAAAATTCTGAAAGAGATGGGAATACCAGACTACCTTACCTGCCTCCTGAGAAACTTGTATGCAGGTCAGGAAGCAACAGTTAGAACTGGATGTGGAACAATAGACTGGTCCCAAATGGGAAAAGGAGTATGTCATGGCTGTATATTGTCACCCTGCTTATTTAACTTATATGCAGAGTACATCATGAGAAAGGCTGGGCTGGATGAAGCACAAGCTGGAATCAAGATTGCCGGGAGAAATATCAATAACCTCAGATATGCAGATGACACCACCTTATTGCAGAAAGTGAAGAACTAAAGAGCCTCTTGATGAAAGTGAAAGAGGAGAGTGAAAAAGTTGGCTTAAAACTCAACATTCAGAAAACTAAGATCATGGCATCTGATCCCATCACTTCATGGCAAATAGATGGGGAAACAGTGGAAACAGTGACTGACTTTATTTTTTGGGGCTCCAAAATCATGCAGATGGTGAGTGCAGCCATGAAATTAAAAGACGCTTACTCCTTGGAAGGAAAGTTATGACCAACCTAGACAGCATATTAAAAAACAGCATATTAAAAAACATTACTTTGCTGACAAAGGTGTGTCGAGTCAAAGGTATGGTTTTTCCAGTGGTCATGTATGGATGTGAGAGTTGGACCATAAAGAAAGCTGATCCCCGAAGAATTGATGCTTTTGAACTGTGGTGTTGGAGAAGACTCTTGAGAGTCCCTGGGACAGCAAGGAGATCAAACCAGTCAATCCTAAAGAAAATCATTCCTGAGCATTTATTGGAAGGACTGATGCTGAAGCTGAAACTCCAATACTTTGGCCACCTGATGCCAAGAACTGACCCACTGGAAGAGAACCTGATGTTGGGAAAGATTGAAGGCAGGAGGAGACAGGGACAACAGAGGATGAGATGGTTAGATGGCATCACCGACTCAATGGACATGAATTTGGGTAAACTCCGGGAGTTGGTGATGGACAGGGAGGCCTGGCGTGCTGCAGTTCATAGGGTTGCAAAGAGTCGGACATGACTGAGCAACTGAACTGAACTGAACTGGAGAAGGGAATAGCTACCCACTCCAGGAATGCCTGGAGAATTCCATGGACAGAGGAGGCTAGTGGGCTATAGTCCATTGGGTTGCAAAGAGTTCGCCGTGACTGAGCAACTAACACTTTCACTTTTCCCCTGTTCAGGGCACCGTAAGTCTTTTCTGGGTTCCAACGTTTCTCTTTGTTTAAAATTTTATCCTTTTATTTTTTCCATAATAATCTTCAATATCCACAAGGAAATTCCTACCCCCGGATGGCATCAGATTCCACAGGTTAATGTTTCAGTCCTATAAGACACCCCCCATCCCCCCAACCTGCCCTCAGAGGTCAGTTGAAAGCCCAGGTTGTTACCTGTGTTTCTGACTGACTGCCTACACACTGGGGATTCCCCATGCCTCTCCTTAGACTTGCATTTGATTAATTTTCTAGAGGAGGTCACAGAACTCAAAGAAACACTTTACACTTACTAGATCAGCAGTTTATTATAAAAGGATGTAACTCAGGGACAGTCAGATATCAGAGATGCGTAGGGGAAGGCATGGGAAAGGAGCAGGACTTCCACACCCTCTGTTCTCCCATTATCCTGCATTCACCAAGCTGGAGGCTTCCCAAACCTTGTTGTTTGAGTTTTTATGGAGGCTTCATTTCATAGGCCTGGTCAATGAAATCACGGGTCAAAGGTGACTGATTCAACCTCTAGTCCCTCTCCTCTCCCGGGAGATCAGGGGGTGGGATGAAAATTCCAACCCTCTAATCACAAGGTTGGTAACCCTGGCAACCAGTCCCACCCTTAGCCGCATTTTAAAAATTACCTCATTAAGAAAAGACACCTTTATGACTGTCATCACTTAGGAAATTTCAATGGATTTAGGAACTCTGTGTCAGATATGGGGATGAAGAACAAATATATGTTTCTTATAATAAATCACAGCATCACAGTATGTCTACTTATTTGTTGTTATTGTTTTTATAATGTCCTCTAATAAAATTTTATAGTTTTTTCTGGGTTAAAGACATTTCTAGATATTTTATAATTTTGTCATTATTTTTGAATAAGACTTCCCGTCCTCCTCCCAATCTGTTTTTACCTGGCTATTAGTAGTACAGAGAATGGTTATTTGATTCTTGTGTATTTTCCTTCATCCAGATAATTTAATCTTAATACTTTTACTATTGCTCATAGCTCTTGTAGTTGAATCTTTTTTTGACAGAGAGAGATTTCTTCTTCTACATTATAGCTTTAGATGAAGCATATAGAATAATGTTGAATACTAATGGAAATAATCTTTACTTTGATTTTATTTAAAAGAAGGTTGTAATTAGTTTCTCTTAATCTCATACTATTTGAAATTTTTATACAGAGCTTTAAACAGGAATGATTGCTGAATTCTAGCACATATTTTCTGGAATTTATGATATAATCATAGGAATTTTGCCCTTAATTTGTTAGTATTTTGAAATATGTTGATGGATTTCCTAATATTGAACCATAATCATGGAATAAGTGTAACATGGTGGACTTATTTTAATATATTGCTTGATTTGGTTTCCTAATGCTTATACCCTGACCTTCTAGTTAATTGAATTATTTGTTTCCCTCAAAACGCCACCACCAGTATTTTTGTCTTTTAATAATAATATTGGTTCTCATGTTCTTAATACAGCTTTTCCTGTGCCAGTGTTGAAGGTTAATTGCATTTTAATACTGCATGTTTTATGCAGCTGCTATAACACCAATAGTTACGGTTGACTCCATGTGTCCTTCTTAGGATCCTACCAAACATCTGGCTGGGTAGCTGCCCTCGCCAAGTGGAACACGTAACTATCAAACTGAAGCATGAACTAGGGGTTACAGCTGTAATGAATTTCCAGACAGAATGGGATATCGTACAGAATTCCTCAGGCTGTAACCGCTACCCAGAACCCATGACACCAGACACTATGATTAAGCTGTACAAGGAGGAAGGCTTGGCCTACATCTGGATGCCCACCCCAGACATGAGCACAGAAGGTAAGCGTCCGAGGGGGCTTGTTGAATGTGTTTCAGAGAAGCCCTGGTTGGTTTCTGCCTGTCTGTCTGCCTATCTACCTACCTTCCTGTCTATAACTGAAAACCTGTATGTGAATGATAGATATGGAATACATATAAGGTTTTGGGGTTAATATATATTATATATATATATGTATATATATGCACACACACATATGGTATATATAAGATATATATATCTTTTGACACCTTAGCTAAGATTCTGTTTCACATTAGTTCTTTTAATTTATTTATTCATCAAACTTATTTATTGTCTATCTACTATGTGTGTGGGGCCCTAGGCTGGTGGCTGGGAATTCAGAGGTGAAGAAAAGCAGGCACAGCTCCCGTCCTCATGAAGCTATAGTCCAATAGGGAAGATAAGAATAATCAAATGACTGCAAACAGAAATGTAAAGCTCTGGTCAGTTTTCTGATTAGAAAGTTACACGGATCCTGTAACGAGAGCACGCACAGGCAAATCAGACCTAGGAAAAAGGGCCAGGGAAGGTTTTCTTGGGTGTGCTTGAACTGAGATCTGAAGCGGGAGTTGGGCACAAGTGAGGTGGGCAGGAGGCTCCCAGACAGAGGGAGTAGCGAGAAAGAGTCCTCTTGCAGGAGAGCACAAGTATTGTAGGAACTGAAAGACGGTCAGTGTGGCTGCAGGTCTGGGAAGAAGGGAACGAGGTCCTGCAGGACTTGGGCCAAAGAAAACTTGAGACTGTATCCTTATGCAGTGAGAAGCAGATGAAAGGGAGGGAGGCTGAGAGATGCCAAGATAACCTTTCTCCCCGCCACCCCCCAAAAGCACCCTTTGATTGCAGTGTGTAGAACACAGGGATGGGCCCACAGCGGGTCTGGGGAGGCCAGTTAGGAAGTAACTGCAGCAGTTAAAGTGAGAGGTAAGGAGAGAAAACTGCAGCTCAGGGCAGGGTGGCAATTGTGATGCTTCCATTTACCGCACAAACACTGGCGGAACCTGTCTTCGTGAAGAGGGAATTAGGGTGTGACATGGCTGCTGCCAAGGATCGGAGACAAATAAGGAACAGTTTGATCTCACGGCAAGAGGCAGTAAGGCAAGTTCAAAGCTAATTAAAGTGCGAAGAAGAAGGTGATGAGAAGGATGAGTCGCGCGCTAGGAGGGTTATGGTGTGGGAGGAGAATATCTGCAGAGAAGCACAGGGAGGCGATGTAAGTGTCCTGGGATTTGAGGTGGGCGTGGCAGGTCAACATAGAGGGAGAAAGGGCATGGCGGTGGGAGAAACAACCGAGGCACAGAGGCGTGGGATTTTAGAGGGATAATCTGTATTTCAGCCTGGCTGGGGAATAGGGTTCTTGAAGGAAAGGAGTGATCTCTGAATCCAAAACAAGCTACTCGAATAATATCAATCAGATACCAGCAGAGGGCAGCAGAGAGCTATGGACTGGCTCGGAATCAGGGCGCTTCAGTTCAGTTCAGGGGCTCAGTCCTGTCCGACTCTGCGACCCCATGGACCGCAGCACGCCAGGCTTCCCTGGCCATCACCAACTCCGGGAGCTTGCTCAAATGCATGTCCATTGAGTCAGTGATACCATCCAACCATCTCATCCTCTGTTGTCCCCTTCTCCTGCCCTCAACCTTTCCCAGCATCAGGGTCTTTTCCAATGAGTCAGTTCTTCGCATCAGGTGGCCAAAGTATTGGAGCTTCAGCTTCAGCATCAGTCCTTCTGAAGGCATTTGGTGAACTGCTATTCTGGAGGAAAGAAGGAAGACAGTGATGCCCAGCAAGGAAATGTTTCTATCACCAGTCGTCTTCCCCCCAAGATACATTATGTATCAAACTCTGTTTTGAACAATTTTGAACGTTAACTCATTTAATTCTCACGACAAGAGTCCAGGCAGGTGTTGTTATCTCCACTTTGCTGAGAAAGAGAATGAGGGACACAGAAGTTAAGTAACCTGGCTGGTGTCATACAGCAGAGACACAGCCTGACTTTCAACACATGCAGCCAGACTCAGAACACTGCACCTGCCACCACGCAGTGAAGCCTCTCTACACGCTCACATGGACTCTTCATGCACTTTGTACAGACCACCACCCACACTTTCAACCTGCCATGTTCATCATCAAAGACATGAGTTTCTTGGTCTTTCCTGGTGGCTCAAAGGGTAATGAATCTGTTTCCAACGCGGGAGACCTGGGTTCAATTCTTTGGTTGGGAAGATCCCCTGGAGAAGGGAACAGCTACCCACTCCAGTTTTCTGGCCTGGAGAATTCCATGGACTGAGGATCCTGTCCACGGAGTCACAAATAGTCGGACACGACCGAGCGATCTTCACTTTCACTTTATGAGTTTTTAGGGAGATAGCTTGTCTCCCCAGTCAGTACTCCAAGATGTAGGTGGGGATGGGGGACTCTGACAGTCTTAGGGCCTTGGCCATCTTGATGAATATTTATTGTCCTGCTGGCCAGGCTGGGCCCCTCAATGGGTCCTTCTGAACTGAACTATCGCTGGGTATGAGGTATTATTTTTCTTTCTAAAGGTTTGTTTGGTTGGTTACTCTTCTTGGTAATGAATGCTGATCCAAAGAAGCTTGATTTAGCTTCTAGAGCTTTGTCTTTTTTCAAGGAATTTTAAAAAAACAAAACAAAACATGATTTGCACAGAAAAGCCCAGTGAACCTGGCTCATATTTGCCCCGTCCAGTTTGCTTCTCTGGCTTCAGAACTGAGAAGGTTGTGAGGATCGCGTGCCCATAGCTTCCAGGGAGGGTTTGATTCTCACTTCTTTGGTTGTGATCTTCTAGCTTCGTTATCCCATCAGAATAGGATGTGAGACTAGGCTCAGAGAAACTGAGATAAATATGGCCTGCCCTACCCCTTGCACTGATTACCCTAAAACCCTGCTAACTGGTAGGCAATTTGCTCAGTAGTTTGGGAATTTGCAGAAGCCTGAGGGAAAATGCTATCCCCAAGGAGCCACTGTAATTGTATTAAAATCTTGTGGGGGTCGTGGAGTCTCCAGGACCCACGCATACAAAGGACCGTCTTTCACACTGAGGCAGTTTGGAAACAAAAGAAATGGCAGCAAAATGAAAGCTCCCACTTGAAAAAAAGCCAAAACCCAAGAGTAAAGAGTTTCTGTGGTTCAGCGAAACCTGGGGGAGTAATCCAAGGGTTAACAACCACTCCTGAATTGCAGAGGAATTTTTGACCAATAGATCAATCTCTGTGGCTCACAACATTAGCACAATGAACACATAGATTAATTCAGCTGAATATTTTTAGAACTCCAGAGAAAAATCCATCTGGAAGTGTTTTGAGCCGCAGCATAATGCTGTCAGATAAAGTCTGAGAAGGAAGACAGTTTGTTAGGCCTGACTGTCACCACTGGTTGTCACAGACCTGTTATAATCAATTGTGCCATCGATTCTCACTCTTGTACTTTTTGTCATGCAGAAGGGTTGGGATTGTTTAGGTTTTTTTTTCTTTTCTTTAAAAAAAAGAAAAAGATTTTGTTTTGTTTTGTTTGTATCTTTCACCTGAGAAACAAAAAGCTCCCAAATGTAGCACTCACCTGAACACATAAAAAATGTTCATTAGAAAATAAGTTATCCTTCCCACAGGAAGTACTCAGACTGTGTTTTGACCTTTGTCAGCACAGCGCCATTTATAACAGACGGTCTAACCTTGCCTCCCAAATGGGTTAATATGTTCTTCAGAGTCCTTGCCCATCCCTTTGTTGTCACGGTCTGAGTCTTTTCTCTGACTCAACACACTAAAGGCAGTGTTGCCACGAGGCAGAGACACCGACCTTGGAGCCACGGCACCTGGGCTTGAGCCTCATCACCGTGGAGCAGCTGTGTGCTATGGGCAGACTTGGAAAATGAGGAGTAATAATATCTGCCTTACAGGATTATAACAGTAGAATAAGATAATTGATATAGAAGAGCTTTGAAAATTCCGAAGTTGGGCCCATATTGCCAGTGCCAAGTTCTTCCGTTTCTATTAAAGGGTGTTATAGATAACAGGGACCTTATCTAAATTAAAGAAAAGAAGATGCGCTCAAATAAAATTGCAATATATTCAGCATTAATCTGCCTCTGGATTAAGAAAGGAAAGACCTGTGTGTGTGTGTTGGAAAGGCTGAAACTTGTGCCAGGAACAATTTCTTTCAGGGCCAGCCTTAGGTCAACCTCAGATATCTTCAGGGACCCCCAAAAGCCATTCCAGAGTTGGATTAACTTGGAGGAGATGTGGACCAGAAATTAGTAAGAAGGGTCTTGGACTGTCTCAGATCTAATTGGTATTAATGGTTTTGTTTTACTTTTGTTTTAATTCATATATTCAGTGAATGTTTATTGAGCATCTAGGGGGAGTCAAGCCCTGTTTTAAATTCCAAAGTAAAAATCACAGATGGTGGAGTGTTTTGTTGGACCTGCACTGGCTTTAAAATTTTCAACTTACTTGCCAACATTTAAAATTTGGAATGTTTTACATTTAAAAAAAAAATCAGTGGTTCTCTCTTGCCTTGGGGGTATTATTGTTTTTAAAAATGCTAGTATTTTATTGAATTAAATTCCATCTGGAGGCTATGAAACATTCACGTTAGGGGCTCTGGTTGACACTGGCTTTATTGGGTGAGCCCTGATCCTGGGGACCCTTGTGTGATTCCTTGGTGGGTTATGTATGAGAAATGGAATATTTCCTGCCATATCAGTAAACAAGGATGTCAAGTCATCAGTGATTGCAGCCCTCTGATGTGAGCTGGTGAGGTCAAAGGGCACTGAGGAAGAAGAATACCCATAATCCACAGCCCTCAGACTGCAGTCACTCCCTATGGGTGAGACCACGGGAGCTCAGGATGTGATGACCACAGGATACTGGCCCAGGATCGCTCAGATGAAAGCTCAGATGCATATGAAAGGAATGGTTCCAGTGAGCTCAGCACTTGCATCTTCCCCTACATAGAAAAGATACATTCCTTAACTGGGGGCATCTGGTTTCCTTTACTTAACAATAATCTTTTGATGTTCAGACTCCCTGCCCTCCCTGGCTCATCTGCTCACCTCCTTGGAGCAGTTCTCTCAGGGTGACATGAGATTCTGTCTCCCGGGCTTGAAGTCCTAAAGATTCCCACCAAATAAAACATAACTCCCAGCTTTTAGGTTGTGGTGATTTTTTCAAGATGACACGCATTTGCTCTGGCTCCCTAGAGTGGGTTTTCAAGCAAGAGGACATGCACTTGTAGGACACAGACAGCCGTCTGGGTAGGGACAGAGATGCTGAGCCCCAGGGAGGATGCTGCTGCCCCACTGCGGGGACAGCTGCTGCGTGACTCGGGAAGTGGGGGGCAGGGACTCCCTGGGGCTTCGCATAGACTGCGTGGGGGCCAGCAAGCCAGCCATGGACCAGGTAGGTTAGGGAAGGTGGTAGTACAGAGGTGAAAGCCAGAGACTTCAGAATTTGGACGGCTGGGTTGGAGCGGCCATTAAGGAATAAGCTTGCACAAACTTCTGATACAACTGAGGGTGATAACAGTGCCAGCCCCATATTTGTTGAGAGGTGGCTGTAAAGGCTGTTGCATGCAGAGCTTAGAACAGCGTCAGCAGACAGAAACAGCCTAGTACATGTTCGCTGTCATCCATCAAAGTGAAGTGAAATGAAAGTCGTTCAGTCGTGTCCAATTCTTTGCGACCGCATGGACTGTAGCCCGCCAGGTTCCTTTGCCCATGAAATTTTCCAGGCAAGAATACTGGAGTGGGTAGCCCTTCCTTTCTCCAGGGGATCTTCCCAATCCAGGAATTGGGCTTGAGTCTCCCGCATTGCAGGCTGATTGTTCACTGTCTGAGCCGCTGATCAAAGCAGAGTCAAAATAAAGGAGGGCTCCAGCTGAGGCCAGGATGAGATGGGTGGGCATCCTAGATAGGCTGGTGTCCCTTTTTATTCTTTCTTCAAGTTATTTAAATAAGTGTTCAGCAGTTCTTAAGTGGGATGGCTGAGTGATTCTAGGAGAGGACCTCTTGTGGGTGAGACGTGTGTTTAAACTGGGAGCCTTCTGGAGTTTCCAAGTGGCAGCTGACATTTACATTCCAGGATTATGTGTCTGAGCTCACTGAACCTTAAACTAACACAAATCCTTTCTCAACTTCTAAAATACCTGTTGAAGAATCTTTTACAGATAAAAAGGAAAGAGGGAAATATTAGACCATTTTGGCCGTTTGGTGCAGATCCTTCCTTGGGGGTACTTCTGGCCAGAGAGAAGGAAAAGGGAGGGGATTCTGATGGGTCCATGCAGACCTGGCCAGGGCAGGCTGGTCCTGATGCCACAGAAGTGGAGCATTAACTCTGGGTCTCTGACTCCAGCAGCTCCTCCTGCCAATGCTGCTGTGGTCCACTTGTGTATTGGGCATTTGCTGAAAACGCCCATTAAAAATGTTTCTGTTAATTCCCTGGCAATGAACATGGAAACTGGGGAACTTGAGAACTGATGCCAGCTGAGCCAGGAGCAGGACGAGCCCAAGCTTCCTGGATCCGTCGTTGGGAGTTCCTTTCCTAGCCAACAGTCCTTAAACTTCTAATACCCCCCTCTAAGAAAGAGAAGTCTGCATTCGAACAGGCCTCACAGTTATCAGCATGGTCACTCGTACAGGCCTTGGAGGTTTTGCCTCATCTGATTTCTGAACTTAAATAGTGGACCAAAGACACAGTTCTCTCCCTGAGACATCCAGCGAGACCACTCTCTGATACACATGGTGTCTTATACCTTGTTACATTGCGGGTGTTACTTCACTGCCTCCAGGAGAGTGACTGACTGTATGGCAGGCACCCCAAGCTCTGTCCTCAGAGCACCCTGCAACCAAGCACAGAGGCATAGATCAGTTAAAGTTTATGGCACAGTTTGGACTCAGAAGTCAAGCAAGGCCTAGGGGCTGGTGTGACTTCAATTCAGATGCCCTCAGGGACCAGGCAGGGAACGGGAGAGTGTGGCAACAGGCACTGGGGAGAGATGGAGCTGCAGGAACTGTGAAGTGTGCTCTGCTTAAATCATTCCTGTTAAAACTCTCTCTCAACTGCCATGTGGGGCCTTTAAATTCCTTAGTCAGAGGGAGTAACAGAACACCAGGAGCTACTAAAATCATTTTTGGCTTCATATGGATCTCCGGCTCTGATAGATATCATAGCAGGGTGGGCCTGAAGCTAAGCCCCCTCCTGTCACAGTAGAGTGGTCACTGGGAGGGTCTTCAGGCCATGGAGGGGGGGGGGGTGGTAATTCTCTCCTTCTAAGGTGCTGATGCCTGATTGCAATCTGTTGTGTTGGCCCCTTCAAGGCACTTGCATTTTAAAAAAAAAGGACATCTAAGGAAAGTTTAAACTTACCTGAGCAGCTCTCATGGGAGAATTGCAGGCCTCAGTGAAGATCTGGTGTGAGGTTATTTGCAGGGGGGCATTTCTCACCTCTGCAGTCATCCAGTGGGATGGTAGTGTGAACGCTGGACAGGCCTTCTCTGTGACCCTTGAAAGACACCGCCCCCCCCCCCCCCCCCAAGGCTGTGGTGTCTCCGTGTGGTTGAGGACAGAGAGCAGCTGGAGGATGTGAGGTCAGAGCACATAGTTTTCACCCAGGTCTCTGTATAGTTTCCCTCTTCCACCCATTCTCGAAGTAATTTACAATGACCATCCTCCACCTTCCAAAAAAAAATCCACCAGATTCATTTTGCTCTGAGAATCTGAGAGCCGGAGAAACTCCAGGCATCTAAGAGTTTGCTGGCCTCAGGGGGCTCTCTGTCCCTGGGATGATAGAGAGGGCATGGGTCCAACGGGCCTCAGCAGAGCATTATATATCCTGTCTCAGTGTGCTGAGGGGAAGATACTGGACATCTAATCATCAGGACAGGAGCCCCAGGGCAGCAACACCTGTAATCATAATTGCCCAGTAAAGGGAAACTGAGTCAGTTTCAATACACACCGTGATGGTGGCGGTGCTTTAGTCATGAAGTCGTGTCCGACTCTTCACAACCCCATGGACTGTAGCCCACCAGGCTCCTCTGTCCATGGGAATTCTCAGGCAAGAATACTGGAGTGAGTTGTCATTTCCTTCTCCCAGGGATCTTCCTGACCCAGGGATCCAAGCCAGGCCTCCTGTGTTGCAGGCGGATTCCTGACTGCTGAGCTACCAGGGAAGCCCCAATACACAGTGTTATCAGGAGGGAATACATGAATGACTGGCTATCCCACCTGTGTCAATTAACACGTTAGCCATTCCCTTGGACAAATCAAAATTAGCTTATGTCCAAGATGAGGCAGATGGACTCCTTTAACCAATACAGACTAATTCTGTTTTGCATTTACCTGGAAGATCCTATTGGGTTAAAGGAAATTCAGGTGATGGGATCTGTGAACTTCTCTTTGAAATCCTTTAAACCTCTGCCCAGACCCCTCTGATAGATGAAAGGACCCATGCTTTTCAGGCTAGGCGCTAGTGAAATTCCCTTTGAAAGGAGGTTTGCAGGGATGCAGGCTCACTCAAAAGAGCAGCAAAATCCAGTGACAATTCAGATCTGACCTATTGCCTCCTGGCTGCTCTTTCCACTTGATGATGAGCAGGTTCTGGGATCGTCTCACCTTTTCCTTCTACACAAAGGAGGGAAGCTAGCTCCGCCACGCCCGCCTCTCCCGCCGCAGGAGTGACTGTTCGGGGCGGCCCGGGGTGGCTCCGGTCTCACCCGACTGTGCTGTGTTCTCTCAAACGCAGGCCGCGTCCAGATGCTGCCACAGGCGGTGTGCCTCCTGCACGCGCTGCTCGAGAAGGGCCACACGGTGTACGTGCACTGCAACGCCGGCGTGGGGCGCTCCACCGCCGCCGTGTGCGGCTGGCTTCAGTACGTGCTGGGCTGGAGCCGCAGGAAGGTGCAGTATTTCCTCGTGGCCAAGAGGCCGGCGGTGTACATCGACGAAGAAGCCCTGGCCCGCGCAGAGGAAGACTTTTATCAGAAATTCGGGAAGATTCGGTCTTCCGTGTGCGGTGTGTAGGGTGATGATGAATCCGCCTCCCTCCCTCCGGGTTTCCTTAGGAAACCTGGACTGATGCTAGTTACTGACCTAGAAGCCAAGATTCTTCCTCGGCTGGAAGACGGGTCCTGCCCTTCCCAATCCCCCTACCCTCAACCCCCAGCCCCCCACCCCCCCTCCAAGCCCGACCCGCCTTCTTTAGTCTGGGGCTGACTTTCGGCTCAGATTTGGTTGAACTGGATCTTCTTTGAAATGTTTTGCAAAGGGTGCCGTGACTGACCCCGAGAAAAATCCACGAGCCGTTGGGCTGTGCAGTGCGGTTCCAGCATCAGACGGAAAGGGGACGGACGGGCCCAGGTCTGCGCCGGCGGGCGGATGGCCCCTGCGGCACGGTCAGTGCGTTGCTGGCCTGTGAACGCACCGCTGCTCTGGCTTGTTGCCTTGTGACTTGGCAGGCGGAAGAAAAGTTTGGGAGTTAACCTAGATGTTGTCACTGTGTGATCACACACACACACACACACACACACACACACACACAGATTTTCTGCTGAACTGAAGTGGATTATAAAGGAAGAATTGGTCAGTTGGCCAAAGAAGAGAATAGATTGGATGAGAGCCTGGACTCGCATCTCCCATAAGGGAGAGCCCCGTATGATCCAAAGCAATGACTTTCTAGTCTTTGTTGTTGCATCCTACTTCGGAGTTGTTAAAACATGTTCCAAAGCCTCACCTTCCTTCTGTATGCACAGCCCAGTGTGATGACCTCAGTAACCTTACTATCTTTATGTGTTTTCGCTGAGGCTCTGTAAGCAGAACTAAGGTGCCCGGGTCTCAAGGCTGGTCAGGGATGAGCTGGAGTTTATCACCCGAGTTTATTTGACTCAGGGTTGTGAAAAGCACAACACCTGTGGTGTTGCCGGCATACTTTGGTGAGTTCAGCTTCTCCCAGTGGAAGGTCAGTTTGTCTGCAGCAGTTTCTAGAGTGGGAAGTGGAGCAGTGTTCTAACAGTCACCGTAGAATTCAGGAAAGTTAGTTATCCTCGTTTAAACCACAGTGGGCCATCTCCAGGTGGGAGTGGCCCGAGCCATAGGCTGCTCACAAGAGGAGCTGTGTTCCCAGAAGAGCCCCAAGTGCCAAAGTCCATAGTTAATTGTGTCACAGATTAGGGGGATCCTGGTTTACCCTCAGTTTAATGCAAAACAGTTACTGTGCAATTCACTATCTGGGGCTCTATAAGAAGTTCAAAGATTAATAAGATTTTGCCCTCAAAAAGCTCACAGCCTAGAAGCATCCCTGTGTTCAATCAGGTGCCCTGCAGGGTTGAACTAGTAATGATTGTCTGATATGGGAAAGGGGAAATAACTTTTATTGGGTGCCTCTTATGTGCTGGATGCTTTACAATCTTATGTAATGTGATCTTCCTGGTACCCCAAGTGGAAGGTTTTTATTATCTGTTATAGAGATGAGGAAACTAAGACTCACAGAGATGAAATCAACTGTCTTCAGTCATGTTCACCACATAAATAGATGAAATATGATAAGGTTTGTTTGACTCAGAACTGTACTTTTTGTTTCATTTGAGCAGAGAAGGCTAGGCAGGACAAATGTATCCTATGATTTTCAGAGTAAAATTTATAAGCTAGGATTATATAATGTGAAGACCAGCTCTCTTGCTAAAAACAAGTAGAAATAACTACTGTGTTCAAGTAACCCATTTATAGTCACAACATGTTTGGTAAAATTTAATCTTAAAAATGGAATATTTCTAATTATATAAATGTGTGTGTGTGTGTGTGTGTGAATTTCTTTAATGTCTAGGAAGTCCAGCTATGTAACTTCCACTATAGAAAGACATTTTTTGGGGTAGATTTTTCCCTTTTTTGCTTTGATAGACAAAATCAGTTTAGGACTATTAAAAAAAATGTTTTGGAACAAATTTCCTTCCTCAATGAATGGGATGTCCAGTGTATTTAAAAATCACCTGGAACTTTTGCTAAATAAAAGCATTAAAAATGACCTCTGTGTACAGGATTTTTAAAATGTTTCTAACTTAGTCTGAAATCTCAAAGAACAAACTGTTTCCTTATTTGAAAAAGAGGCAGTTGGGTGAGCTAAAATGTTTTATTCTTATCACTCTCACTTTCTCATTAGCTGATCAAAATGGGCAGTTACAGGACAAAAGAAAGTCAAAGGTGAGGACACCACAAAGATGTGAAGATGGAAAGCTCAAGGGTGTGTCAGAAAATCAAAGTGATGTTGTGCCATTAGCTGCTTGTCACTGGCATTAACAAAACTTTTCAGTCACACATTTTTCAAAGAAAATCATAACATCTCACCCAGGGTAAAGAAATGTCCAAATAAGTTTATTTTCGAAACATTTTCCTTTTAATTATTTTGTGTGCTAATGTTAGGAAAAATTAAAAAAAAGAAACACACTGTTTTGATTAACATTAAGGTATGGGTGAAAACCATTTGGTTTGACCATTTTAAGAAAAATGTAGTTAGGATTTTGGAAACTATAGTAAGTAATGAAGGGGGGAAAAATTGAGGATGAGCTCACTAGGAAATGAGAAATTGCCACACATGAAATAATACTGAATAAACAGAGTCAGTTTGATCAGAAGTTAGAACTGAAAATATCTTTGGAGATAATCTAGTTTAATTCCTTTATTTTACAGAGGATCGAACTCAGAGACCTCAAATGACTCTTCCTGCAGCAAAAAATATTAATTGAGGACTGGTGGAAAGGGTTGAGCTAGGGAGATCGGTCAGGAGATTTATTGCGTGTTGATGGGTTGTAGGAGAGTTCATGGGAGTGAAAGCAGACGTTGTTATTAGTGGGGAAGAATTGGTGGGAGGATAAATGGAACCTGGAGTAAGTGGAAGAGAAATGGCTAAAATGAGAAAAAGCAAAGAACAGCAAAATGTCCAAAAGAAGAAAAAGCAGGTGTTTCCTTTTATAACAGCATTACTGGGGAGATTGAGAACGAAGATGTGAATGCAGAAATGGGGGGTGTGTGTGGCTAGGGTCAAGGTTATATTCCCTGGATAGAGAGGCATGCTAAGTATCCATCTACTTCTCTATGAGACTAGGTGACAGTAGGAAAAAGGGTCAGCTTGCTGTAGTGTGTTGACCAAATAGAGGGGTGGGATGCACAGTGGCTTATTACCTCCTGGGCAAAAAGAGAAAATCCGATAGGAGATGGATTAAGAATAAAAAGAGAAGGGCTGGTGAAACTACCTCTCATTACAACAAAAATAATGGCAATAATAATAAAAGGAAGAGAAAAAACAACAGTGACAACTTTGTTCCTTCTTTCCCCAAACCATTACTCAAGTCTTCCCTAAGCCGGTTAATATAAATAAGATTGCAGAGTCTCAGGTTCAGACCTCAGTTGAATTAAGTCATGCTTGTTTTTTGTTTTCTTTTTTTTTTTTTCTATTCCAGGTTTCCATTTATATTGATCTGATTGCTGAGAAACCTTGGTGGTATTAAGTCATTTTTCACCCCATTCTTCCTTTCAAACCTCACATCAGGAAAACCTGTCACCTCTCCTGTCAAAATATCTATATAGCCTGACTATGTTTTACCTTCTCCTTCAAACAACCCTAGGTAGAGCCATCACGATCTGTAGACTGGACTTCAGAAACAGCCTCCTACCTGATCTCCATCCCCGTGTCTCACCTTGCCTCTCCGTGGCCAGGGAGATCCTAAAAATGTATGTCAGATCATAACACTCCCGTGCTCACAACCTCCAGTGTCTTGCCATGTCACTCAGAATAAAAGGACCTCCACAAGCTGGTCCCCTGTTATGTGTCTGACCTAGCCTCCTACTGCTTTCCGCCTCACTCTGCTCTACCCACGTTGGCCGTCTTGCTCCTGGATTATTCCGTGTAGATTCCTACTTCAAGGTGCTTGCACTTACTCTTCTCTCTGCCCGGAGTGGTCTTTTTCCTTGTATGCACAGAGCTCACTCCATCCCTCCTCCAGCACTGCCTTTCTGCACCACCCTGCTAAAATCACCGCATCCAATCCCAGCCCTCCCCCTCCTCATTCTCTGCTTCATTTTTCTTCATGGAACTTACTGCTGGCTGGTATATCACATCATTTGCTTATCTGTTTTATTGTCTGCATCCTCTTACTACAAATGCAAAAACCATAAAGCCCAAGATTTGGATTCGTTTTGTTTGGTGATGTACTTGCAGTGCCTATAATGGAGCTTGGTGTGGTTTGATGAGTTAAGGCCGGGAGTAGCTAGTAACTATTGAAAGCATATGTGGTCCATGTACTTGTCTCTAAGTGCTTTACATATATGAGCATATTTCATCTTCCCAGCAAATCCTATGAGATAAATATTATTACTATCCCCATTTTACAGATAAGAAATCTAGAGTCACAGAGAAAATGTGGACTTATTCTAAGGCAAGCAGGACAGTTTCACTCCTGTTTGGTGGTGTCCCGGTTCAGTTGTTAAGCCATGTCTGACTGTTTGCAATCCCGTGGACTGTAGCCCTCTAGGCTCATCGGTCCATGGGATTTCCCAGGCAAGAATACTGGAGTGGGTTGCCATTTCCTTTTCCAGGGGATCTTCCTGGCCCAGCAATTGAACCTGTGTCTCCTTCATTGGCAGGAGGATTCTTTACTCTGAGCCATCAGGGAAGACCCTTGGACCAAGTTTTTTTTTGTTTTTTTTTTTTAACACCAAAAACATTTTGCATTTTATTCAAAACCCTAACACAAAACACAATCAGAACTTTCTTTGGTTGAACACTTAGCTCTTTTTAATTATGTAAGATTATTCATAGTTTGGTAAAAATGTGTTTGTGTACTTCATATCGTTAGTTTTCGACTGAGCAACTTGCTCAGTCATGTCCGACTCTTTGTGACCGCATGGACTGCAGCATGCCAGGCTTCCCAGTCCTTCACCATTCCCTGGAGTTTGTCCAAACTCATGTCCATTGAGTCGGTGAGGCCATCCAACCATCTCGTCCTCTGTCATCCGCTTCTCCTTCTGCCTAC